ATATTTAAGATTTCAAGTCTTCCAAGGATGCTAAATGGAAGATTTAAGTTGGGTGGGGGGCAGAGCCACCTTGAGAAATTGGTCTTTGGGACTCTCTCCCATGTTGTAGCATTTTGTATGAGGAAGAAGAGCTATAATAGCGGGAGGATTGTTAATGTTAATATTAATGAACAGGTCTAGAAGAACCAGGTGTGAGTTATTTTCTTTCCACTTCTGAATGTCTTGGGTTGGTCCAGTTCTTCTCTGTTAAGGCAGAGAACGTTCGCCTTGCCTTTGGAAAGCAAGGACAGAGGCCACCCAATTTGTGACATTAGTCGTACCAAAGAGGTTGCAGAGGTTTTGGGGGAACGGGGAAATTCCTTGCTAGGTAAGGTCTTATCCCATCCCTGAAGGAGAGATTTGGGCTGCAAAACTGGACCTTCCATGCTGTTCCCACTGAACTCAGAAGGATGTCTTTTGAAAAAGCTACTTGTCCAGAATGACATAGGGCAGTGGTGGCTAACCTTTTTGGGTTCCTGTGCCAAAAATTGTGCGCACACTGGCACGCTCACGTGCCAGCACCCAGAAAGCACTGCGCACACCCCATGCCTCCTACGTATGTGCGCAATCTCCACCCACCCACGCCACCCTCTTACCAGCACTGCACCTCACAGCTGATTTTGGGCCGGTTTGAGGCCTTTTTCAGCCTCCCAGAGGCTTAAGGAGGCTTCGGCAGGCTTTGCAGGCCGAAAACTAGCCCCGTTTTGTCACTTCCGCTATTTCGGAAAATACCAGAAGTGATGAAACAGGGCTAGTTTTCGGCCTGCAAAAGCCTTCCTCAAGCCTTTGGGAGGCCGAAAAAGGCCTCAAACTGGCAGGAAATCAGCTGTGAGGCATACGCATGCACAGTGAGGTAAGTTTGCCTACACCTCGCTTTCCGGCACAAATGGCTCTGTGTGCCACCTGTGGCATGTGTGCCATAGGTTCGCCATCATGGACATAGGGCCTCTTTCTTGAGTAAGGGGGTTGGACTAGATAATCTCCAAGATCCTTTCAAACCCTATTGTTCATTGTTCTAAAAAGGCCCATTTTGGCTCTTCCGGTTCAGTGCCTCGAGGTGGACAAGTTTTGAACGAAGCCCCTTTAAGATGTTTTCTGCAGTAGATCTTTGACTATTAAAAATGCCACTTGTTTTCCATCAGGGGTACCACACCGAGGATACCACTGGTGTTTTCCTCATGTTTTGGACTACAGCTCCCATAATGCTCAAGAAATAATGAATAGTTCCCAAGAAAAGGACTATCAAAGCCCTAACACTTAGCTAAAATGCAGAGAGGACACTGGGTAAACTTCCCTGAACTGGAACCCCTTCCTGGGATCTGTGTCAGTGGTGGTATGCTACTGGTTTGGACTGGTTTGGCCGAACCGGTAGTAAAAAAAAAAGCCTTCCACGATCAGCTGAGAGGAGAAAGAAGAGAAAAACTCAGGATCGGCCCTCCAACCCACCTCTGCACTTTTCTCTTCTCTCCTCTCAGCTAATTGGTGCTGCAGGCCTCAGCTGATGTGGGGAAAGCTGCATAGACATTAGGTACACATGCACCATCATCAAACTGGTAGTGGAAGAGATAGGATCCCACTGCTGATCTATGTCTTTTAGTTATGGATCTGATTGTTTACATAACACAGTGTTTCTCCATCTTGGCCACTTTAAGATGTGTGGGCCTGAGCAATTCTGGGGTGGGTGAAGTCCACACATCTTACAGTGGCCAAGATCAAGAAACATTGATTTAACCCCGACTTGCTTCCCAATAGATGCTTATCTTCCCAACAAGTTTCGGCTACAGGACATAAGCCCCCCTCCCCTTTTGAATCAGTACACTGGCAATTTGTGTAAGATGTAGCGTGCACATTCACAAAATGGCTGCTGCGAGAGACTTGCCCCTTCACAATATGCCTGCCGTGCTAAGCCTGGACCCTTGTAAGACACCCAGAGTCATTTCTGCAAATAAAGGGGATGTTAGAGGGAGATACTTTGCATTGCATGGATTTTATTCAAATAAGCCTAATGTTGTGGTTCACCAGCAGCCTGTGCAGACAACAGCAGAATTGGACAGTGGGGAAGAACAGGGACCAGTCCAGAAGTCTGGGGAGGACTTGGACGAGGGTCCTGCATCCGATGCAGAGATGGGGCCAGGACCATCTGGTAGTTATATGCTGACTCCAGAGCCCCAAGATTCTGGCAGAGCGAGGCTGAGGAACAAGCGGAGGCTGTTCCCAGTGTGTGTGTATGCGCAGACCTGCCAGAAAGCAAGAACAGTTAAGACAAAAGGGGCAACTTGGGAGTAAGGCTTGGAGGTGATTGGCCCTCCCATAAGACATAAAGGAGGAGCAAAGGGAGATGAGCCTTTGCAGGAAGCAATGTCATCATTCGCTCTGATGGGTTTGGACTCTGAAAGCTCCATGGTGAATTTGCTCTCTGTTTGGTTTTGAAAGACTAAATTGGGACTTTAGTCGTTGGCAACACTTCAAGTCAGATAAAGGTGCGTTCTTATCAGACGTCTCCCGAAGAACCTTGGCAGACATTCCTGGGACTAATTATAACTAGTTGAGACTCATTCCGGGCTGTGAATGATGATAATTCATAGCCATTGAACTAAAATAAAAGGGTTTTGGATTTTATGTGTGTTTGTTGGTGTCTCAGGAAGCCTTGGTCAGAGAACACCTAGGGTTGAAGTGTCAATGCTTGTCAACTTTAAGATATACAGTTGTCAAAGTCTGAAATGCTCTGCCTGATTCAGTTGTTTCAGCTACAAATTTTCAGTTTCAGTCACAAATTGACTTCCGTGGACCTTACATCATATATAAGTGGTTAGTAGAGGAGGTGTGCATAAGTCACTAACGTGCCTATCGTCCCTGTCGTTGTGTTTTTATTCTTTTACTCTTGTTCTCATTTTTGTTTGATAAATTCTAATAAATAAATAAATAAAATCTGTGGACTTCGACTCCCAGAATTCCTCAGCCAGACATGCTGGCTGGGGAATTCTGGGAGTTGAAGTCCACAAGTCTTGAAGTTGCCACGGTTGGATATCCCTGGCTTAGGGGAACAAGTTATGTGGACTAGAATCTGATAGGCACCAAGGGAGTTCTGGATGAGGCAGGGGATGTTTTGCAACAATATTTAATGCCTGGTAACCATCACATCGCCAATACTGGATCTAAGCCATTTTTTAAAATAGAGCCTTAAATACCATTGATTTTGGTGGGTCTCCTTTAGTTACGTCTGGAGCCAACTGTCTACCTCTCGATTGCCCAAAATAACTTTATAATTGACAGAAGGTGTCAACATCTAGACTGACTGATTTCAAAAAAGCTAAGTATATGAGATACAGATTAGAGTTACATAGGAGATCAGGGCAATTCAGGAAGGAAAACTAGATGGAGAAGTTGAAAAAGAATATAGTCCTTGCTTAGTGACTGTTTGCAGTTACGCTGGTGATGAAAAAGTAACTTCACAACCAATTCTTACCTTTATGGCTTTCACAGGTCTGTAAAGCAAAGGAAAGCCAAAGGAAGATCAGAGGCACAGTGGTGGTTTCACTTAGTGACTGCTTTGCTTAATAACTGAGTTGCCAGTCACCACTATGGTCACTAAACAAAGACTAGCTGTAATGGAAGAAAGAAAGAAAGAAAGAAAGAAAGAAAGAAAGAAAGAAAGAAAG